ATCAGTGTTTTTTTTGCCAAAAAAAACAATATTTGCCATAAAAAATGTATTAAAAAAAAAAAAAGGTCTTTAAATTTTAATTTGGGCGATGCCCAAATTGGCATATATACATAGATATATATATAGATAGATATATAGATAGATAGATAGATATATATACATATAAAATAACTGCTTTTGATATTTATGTAAATGTCTGAATATGCTTTTTTTGTAACAGTTAACAAGTCTGTTTGTTCCATGCTGAAACTCATATTTAGCAATCCTAAATACTGTCTGACTTTATTGCTAAAATGAAAATAATAATTAGATATATATATATTTTTTATAAATAAATCATGCTATATAATATTTTTTAAATCAGAAAAATACTGTTATTTAAAAAAGAATTGTTATTTAAAGAAGAATACTGTTGTTATTTAAATATTAAGTGTTATTTTAAAAAGAATTAAAAGAAAAATAACAAAGATAAAATAATTCAATAAAGCTTGCTAAACGTCAGACAAAATGCGGTACAGTGAATAGTTTTTTATCTTTTTTTAATGGAAATCATTCAATACTAATATTCTTTTTTTTTATTTAGTTGTTTGGAAGTAATATTCAGTTAAGATAATCAAAATTGTTAAAATTTTTATCCTTAATTTTTAAAAAGAGAGCAGCCATGGCACAGTGGTAGAATGGCAGAGTGGAGAGTAGCTGTAGCACAGTGGTAGCGCATATGCCTCAGAAACAAAGGACCCGTGGTTCAAACCCCATCTCTGGGCAAGTTTCACAACATCTGTTAGGAAGGAGGCATGAACTTCTTAATTAATAATCCCCAAGAAGTCCTTATGCTTACAATAAATACTCTTCAACTCTTTTATATATGTCTTTTAAACATTTTAACTAGTTTTTCTGTTATCACTCCATAACTCTTTTATATATATATCTAAAATGTGTTTTAACTAATTTTCCTGTTATCATTCCATGATTAGGTCAGTTAAACATTTGCAGTTAGCTTGCAAAAGACCTTAATGTAATCAAACTTTATAGAAAGAATCTTGCCTCCACTAGAATGAAGAAAAATGTTTTTTTTTTCCTGTTTCAAGTATCATAGGGGTTTCTGGGGGCCTCAACATATACATTAACCGACTAAATAGAGAGAACATGCAAGGAATGCTACTACAAGGGTACAACTAAGGGTAGGGTTAGTGCAGCAACCATTTTTTCATCATGCTAGGTTTTTCCTTTTTTTTTTTCAATATAACCAAATGGAAAAAACAAAGCAAAAAAAGTCTTATGATTAATCAACTTTTGAATTTTTTTCTTTGAATTTCGAACTTTTTAACAGCATTTTGGAATTTAATTTTTTCACTCAAATACTTATTTGATTAGTACAATAGAATTCTATTTAGTTGTTTGATAAGTGCAATTGTTCCTTTTGATTAATATTTTCTATATTGAGTAATGAGAGTCTTGTATATTGTACATCATAATTTGTTTTTTTTTTTAAATTTGTTTTAAATTATTATTTTTCTTGCAATAATTATTACTTAACTTTTTTTATAAATTGTTATAAATTTTCATTTGTTAAATTGTTAATGTTTTTAACATTTATTTTTATCCAGGTTTTCTTTATATTACGTAAGAAAAACAATCAACTTACATTTTTGCATATATATCACCACTCAACAATGCCAATGATATGGTGGATATGTGTAAAATGGGTTCCAGGCGGTTCATGTGAGTTACTTTTAAAAATTTTAATATATATATATATATATATATATATATATATATATATATATATATATATATATATATATATATATATGCTTTTTTTTTATTTTTTGCCTTAGAGGTAAATTTTATGTTTATATAAAAATATAGATAAAAACTTTATATATAAATAAAATATAACTCTTTTCTAACATAAGGTACACAAAATAAGAAAACAAAATAAGAAAATGTTAATTAACATGAGTTTTTAATATTTTGCTAATCCTCACTTATTTTTATAATTGCACGAAGACGATTTGGCATGCTATAAATGCAATTTAAAGCCATTTTTTTTTTCAAATTATGGTTCTAATGCCAAATAACATTTTTAATCAATTGGGTCCTATTTGTGATCTTTTCTAGCAAAATTTTTCTCTTTAATAGCTTCCATACATTTTTTATGGGGTTTAAATCTGGGGAGTTCCCTGGCTAATCCAAAAGTGGAATTTTTAGTGATGTCAATAATTTTTTAATTGATTTTGCTGTGTGGCATGGTGTTCCAATATTGCTCCTTGCATAAATATTTTCTTCTGCTTATTTATAAACCACTTTTTCAATTAAGGTAAAAGAGAGTTTTAATGAGTTTTTTGTATTGGTCATGTTTCAATATCCCATCCAAAATGTACAGTTGACCAAGGTCTCTTCCACTATTAACTGACCAAAACATGAGTTTAGGAGGGTGTTTAATTGTCTGAATTATACAATCTTCATGAAAGTTTTTCATTGGAAGCCCTTTTTACCTATTGAGCCTTTTGAATCATAATTTCTATGGTAGATGTATCGCCAAAGCATACCTGGAGAAAGAAAAAAAATGTCTCTTAATACCAACACTGGAATATTAATAAAAGATATTTATTTTTGTATTATAATGACTTGCCAATTTCCAACCATCAACAGTGAAACTACTGTACTTCTTTGCCCAATCCATGCACTTTTTCTCTGAGAATTGCTTAATTTTTGCTTTTGTGTTGGCCTTCTAATTCTGATGCCCAAGCCATGCAAACTTCATTCAACAGTGATTGTTGCTACATTTAGTCCCACATCATTCAACCTGCTCTTAATTGGTGAGTATGTAGCAAATTTTTTTTGCTTTTTTTGTTTTTTGTTTATTCTGATTCATTCTCTATAAGGCTGCAAGCAAACACTATTATGTTGGGAGTTACTAGAAAAAAAGAATATATAAAAGAAAAAAAGAGTTATAGAGCAATGAAAGGGTTGACAGATGACTTGAATAGTTGAAGGTTGTATGAGTCAGGAAAACATGAAGATGAGAGAGAGTTCCAGTAGAGATGTAACTTTACATTGGTGAGGAAGAGGCTCAGGCTCAGCAGATAGACAGGACCCAACTACGTTTACAATGTGTTTTTGGACTAGAAGTGAAAGAGAGTTTTGATCTAGAAGAGAAAGAGCATCATTAGAAGAACCAGCTCAAATATAAAAACAGTATTCCATACAGGGACCAATAAGAGATTTGTAGAGGTAGAAAATGAAATCAGGAGAGAAAATGGCGAGCACGATAAAGAGAAGCAACCTTAGCAGATGCTAATTTAGCAATCGATTGTATATATGGTTTCCATTAAAGGTCAGTAGTAAATGATAATCCAAGAAGATGTAAAGAAGAGGGCTCTGTGAGAGGGTTCCCATTCATCAATATAGGAATGCTGAAAGTACTGTGATAGTTGTTTTTGGTAAATAACTGAGTTTTGTTGGGGTTAAAATTTTCAAGCCGCTGTGAGCCCCAATCAGTTACAGAAGTGAGATCAGATTCAAGATCAGCTGCCTGTTCTAAGCGATCGAAAAGAGAAAACTTTTTGTCAAGACAGGAGTATAAAGTTGAGTCATCAGCAAAAAGAGGTACTTTAGATGTAAGATTGTTGGGAAGATCATTAATGTAAATAAGAAATAAAATAGGTTTGAGGTACCCTAGAATTTACTGGAAATAAAAAAGAGTGTTGGCCTTCGAAGATGACACCATATGAAACAAGCAATGGAGAAGATCTACATGCCAAACTTTGTCAAAAGACTTAGATATGTCAAGAGCAATAGCCCCAGCCTCTCTGCCTCCATCTAATGCACAATAAAATCTTTCAGTTACAGCAGTTAGCAAGTCAGCTATGATCAAAAACCATATTGATTGGCTGACAGCAAGTTATTTTACTCAAGGTGGGATGTGAGAAATTTGTTTATCAAAGACTCAAAGACCTTGCTAATAACAGAAAGAAGACTGATTGGACGATAATTGGAGGGTTCAAAATGTTCACCAGTATTTTTGAAAATTGGAACAACAGATGCCATTTTCCAGCAGGAAGGAAAAAAAGACTCAGTAAAGCACTTATTAAATAGTTTAGAGAAAAGAGTTTAGAGCACTTATTAAATAGTTTAAAGAGAGTTCTGAAGAACAATTTTGTAAGACTGTGACAGTTGTCTGGACCACAAGCTGTAGAAGAGTTTAATCAAGATATGACTTAAGCAATGAAAGCTGGAGTGATTTAAATGTCTAATAATAGGTTAACCTGTTTAATTGGAATGGAAGGAAGAGAATGGCCATAAGGTTCGAATAAGTCGAATTAGAAGAGAAGTTCTTTGCAAATAGTTCTGCCTTTTCTAGGTAGTAAGATCTCATGAATGAGAGATGGAATGTTAGACCTATCTTTGTTACTGGCGCTTTTTATGGCGCTGTTAATGAGGTTGTAAAAGATTTTCCAAAAGTCTCTAGAGCCTAACTTCTGAGATAAGATTCTTAACTTCTGAGATAAGATTCTTAACTTCTGAGATAAGATTCTTAACTTCTGAGATAAGATTCCTAACTTCTGAGATAATTTAGTGAACTGAGAATAATTGAGCTTAGCATCTAACAGCACCTTTTTACATTTTCTTGCAATAATAAATAGCTGCGTTAGAGCCAAGCCATTCAGTGTGATAAGCATTAAAGTCACCAATAACAATATTGGCGGAGAGGTAAAGAGAGAGATAGCATGGTCAATATGATCAGAAATTATATATAAAAGAATGCTGTCTTGGGAAGAAGAAAAACAATAAAGAACAAAGAGAAAGGTGATGGAGTGAAGAGGTGCTAAGTGGAAGCACATAAAGAAATGGTCAAAGGATTCGAACCTGATTTTATGACAAATAGGTGAATTGATGTGTATGTATCCCCTAAGCCAAACATGTGACTATTGGAGTCTTTGCGAATTAAAGGATAGTACCCATCAACATTGAGATCAGAAGGAGGAATCGCAGAGTTTATATTAGTCTTGCTAAGAGCAAGCAAATCTGGTGAATTTTGCGAGAGGTAAGATTCAACTGATGGAAGGTTGCTTAGCAGACCGCTTTTACTATTTTCACTAGCTTTCTCTTATTCCTAGGTGTTATTTTCTTTTTTCAGCCACATTTGTCTTGCCTCTGAATATCTCAAGATGCCATTTTTCAATTTGCCTTTGTTTCTTTTTACAGTGAGTCTTGATATCTCACATTTTCTTGATAATTCACTTATCGAGTAATGCTTATCGGTCTAAATCAGACAAATTAAGAGAGTTTTTATTAAATAAAGTTTAGTTCATTTTTAAACGTCAAGTGAGAGTTAATAAGCCTAAAATAAGTTACTTCAATATTCGCTTAACGTACGATGCCTAAAATAAGTTACTTCAGTATTCACTTAACGCATGATGCCTAAAACTTCAGGCAAAGTTCAATCCACTAAATGTAAAAATATAAAATAAAATGTAAAACTTATAGCAAATATTCACTTAAAGAGTGTACTGAATATGATTTCAATTTATAAAATCTCCCTCATAAAGTCATGTTTTGGTTTGTTAAAAGACCTTGGTCAACTGTACATTGTGGATGGAATATTGAATCAGGACCAATACAAAAAAGCTTTTCAATTTCTGGAGAATTAAGAATAAAAATTTTTGACATGAAAAGAATGTCACTATAATCAAACAATTAACACGGCAAACAATCGTAATTTAATAAATTGACCTGTTGAGTTTATTTAAATATGCTTTTAACTATACGATTTATGCGATGAGAGATCATAACACAGGTAATTATATCATTTTATGATTTAGTTATTTGTATACATATAAATCATAACACAGGTAATTATATCATTTTATAATTTAGTTATTTGTATACATATAAATCATAACACAGGTAATTATATCATTTTATGATTTAGTTATTTGTATACATATAAATCATAACACAGGTAATTATATCATTTTATGATTTAGTTATTTGTATACATATAAATCATAACACAGGTAATTATATCATTTTATGATTTAGTTATTTGTATACATATAAATCATAACACAGGTAATTATATCATTTTATGATTTAGTTATTTGTATACATATAAAATAAGAGCTTCAGTCCTTTATGAAATAAGAATTTTTGCCACCAGTAAAATAAAAGTAATTTAACTGAGTAAGGCAAAGTTATAGATATAGTTTTAAATTTTAATTTAGTTTTAAATTTTAATTAGTTTTAATTTGTCTTTTTTTTCTAATTACTTAAATTTTTTATAATGGTATATTTTTTCCAAAACTAGGTCTTTTGAATATGCTGTAAATTTTTCTAACATTTTCTGTTGATTTGTCACTGGTTATGGTTACAATTGGCAATTTTACAATTTAAAATTGTAATTACACTTTTTTTTATATATACATATAACATAAATGTATAAAATTCAAAATTAAGTCCAAAATATGATGTCAACATGAAATATGCTGTGGATTATCAAACAGGAGTTCATAAACTTTAATTTGTGTTCTAGATACAATTTATTTTTTTTAGCAATTGTATCTCATAATCATTTTTATAAAGTTCTAAAGTTTATAAAGTTAACTGTTCCCACATTTTTATTATAAAGAATAAATATTTGTGTGTTTATTAATACACATAGGTATTTATAATCGTAGTTTTCACTTTTAAATATTTTTTTTAGCTGTGCATGGTGCTGTATTAAACGCTTTTGTTCATGTTGTTATGTACTTTTATTATGGTATGTCTGCTCTTGGTCCACAATACCAAAAATATTTATGGTGGAAAAAGTATTTGACTCAAATACAATTAGTAAGTTTTTTTTGAATCATTTTTTTAAAAAGCTATAAATTCATAATTCAGGCCGAAAATTAATAAAAACATGAATTATTATAAAATTAAAAAACTTATAAAAATATGAATTTTTATACTATATAAAATATAACATAACTTTGTTTTATACAATATTTCATACAAGTGGGTGGCCAAAAATATTCTTGAAGAAAATTATAACTTTTATTTATTTGTTTATTTTTTTGTCATTTAAACAAACAACTTATTTAGTTCAAACACTTGGACGGCGCCATATTTTGACCCAGTTTAAAGATTTTTTTTTTTTTTTTTTTTAGTAATACTTAATAAAGGAACGTTTTTTAAGTTTTCTTGGGTCCTAATGACTGGTTTTTTTAAGGGGAGGACTCTAAACTACTAGTCACAACACTGATTATATTATTTATTATTAATTATATTATTTCATTGGAGCAGGTTACTTGTAAAGATAACCCATTACCCTCACAGACCTAATTAGGAAACTGTGTCATAGTATTTAAGTATTTATGCAAGTTATAAATACTTAAGTATTTATGGTTTGCTACAATCTTGTTTTAATTTTTAAAAAGATAAGAAAATATTTATCAGGCATTATTGTTTCTACTGTAGGGTAACCTGGGGCAAAGCGAGACACTTTCAAAGAGAATGTTCATAACTTGAGAAGAATCATGTTTCAAAACTAGAAATTTTGCAGGCCTCCAGCAAAATAAGTGTCTAATGATCTTTTAAATATTTGGGGTGATTGCATTGGTACATAATTAAATTTAAAATGGCAACAACTACCTTGTCTCACTTTTCCCAAAATCTGGGGCAAAGTGAGACAGATTTCATTTGAAAAAAAAACTAAGTAAAATTGTAATTTTTTAATGAAATTAAAGCAGACTTTTGTTAAATTCGATCTGATTAAATATAAATAAAATGCAAATAAAAACACAAAGGTATCATTTTATAAGGTAATTTTTCCTTTTAAATCAAAAAACATGATAGGAATTAAAAAATTAAATAGGAGTCAAAAAATTTGACTAAAATCTATTCACATAAAAAGCAAACATTGTTTAATGTGCAGTCTTCGTGTACCCAAATAGTACATACACAACAAGCTATCCAGTCAATTTAAGTACTGTTCTTTCTAAGTAATTTTTTTTTTCCTACATGGAGAACTAATTATATTCTGAGATTTTTCAGCTAATTTTCTTTTTGGAGGATAATGTTTTGGAATTTGAAGTATATCTTCAAAAGAACTTGATAAAGTAACAGTGGCCTCTGAAAAGCTTTCCACGGTCCAATGGATGAAGTTTATGAGTTGTGTGTGGTGGTAGCGATAGCAAAAAGCTATCCATTGTCACAAGCATAGTCTATAAGTTTTGAGCTTTTGGTATGAGAACAATGACCGTCAAATATAAGTAAAATTTTGTTGATCAAGGTACATCGTACATGTTTAACAAAATGCTGTATATATTCAAGAAATAAATCAGTATTAACCCAGCCATTTTCTGAGCATCCTTAAATAGTTCCAACTGGAGCATTATCTGTGAGTAATATTTTTTTTTTGCGCTTAAATATCATCATGGGTGGTACATAATGACCAACAGAATTACTTGCACATTAAATTGTTGTTGTGACTCTTTTTTCCTCACTTGTCACAGATGAAACACACCGTTTTCCTGCAGATGAGATAATTTTTAATGGCTTATGGATGCATGACAACCCATACTCATCACAATTAAAAATTTGATTTGGCTCAAAGTGATATTTATCTAACAAATTCTTTAAATTACTAAAATAGATTTTAATATTATCTTCGTTCAAACCAAATACTCTGTTTATAGATATTGCTTCTGGTTTTCTTAGTGATAAATCAAATGGCCTTTTAAAAAGCCTCGCACAAAATCTTCTCCTGGTAATTTACCATCTTTGTTAAAATGATTTGGAATTAATTTTTTTTGCAGAACTCAAATACGATTAATCTAATATCTATCAATAATAGACCATAAAATGAATTGTCCATATCTTTAAGAAACTTATTTAGATCTTGTTATTGGTTATCAGAAAGCACTTTTTTTTAAATCTTCCAAGTAAGTTAGTATTTAAACTACTTTCAAGTGAAGCCTTTTTAACACGCCGATGTAGTGAATCTTTTGGCACACTAAAGTTTTTACAAACTTTTCCTAAAGACATCTGCTTCAACTATACTGCTGTAATAGTATTTTTCATGTCATTTTCGTTCCAGTAAGCTTGATTAGTTTTTCTCTTGTAGTTTCTTATTTAAAAATATTTAGTCACTAAATGACAACAAAGTTATGTTATATTCTTTTAATATTTCTAATAAAATTATGTTTTACTTTTACATAAATTCTTTCATAAAATGATGATAGCAAGTTTATAAACTTGCTATCATAAACGTTTACTTTGACGATTTATAAAGTTTATAAACTTGCTATCCTAAGCTTTTGCTTTGATGATCTTTTTTTAGTAAGATCGTCAAAAGATCGCACTTTCCCTGTAAATGTGAAGTTATATATTTCTTAGATATCTTTAAAACAAAATAATCTGACATAAAAAGAAGAATGGCAGCTGAAAGATAACAAATAAGTGATTACAAACTCAATATTATGTTTGTTTTGTGGTAAAAAATGGCAGCGTACATGGATTTTTTTCACAAAAGAAAAAAAATTAAAGAAACATGAAGTTTTTAATATAATAAAACAAAATTACTGTATTATTTCAAAAAAATTCTGTATCAGAGTTAGAAAACCTATCTCACTTTCCCCGTTGTCTCGCTTTGCCCCAGGTTACCCTATATAAATAATCAATATTTATGTACGGTAGTAACACACACACATTTAGAGTAGAGTAAAAGGGAAAATTTTAAACACACACATTCAGAGTAAAGTGAAAAGGAAAATTTTACACACACACAATTAAACACACACACACGCGGATTCAGATTGAAAGGGAAAATTTTACTTGTATTTTATCTGGTGCAGGTAAGTTTAGCGTATCTCACTTGTTTTTCAGAGTTTAAATAACTGATATTTATATTTAGTTACAATTCACCATTGCTCTTATACTTGGTAGCTATGTTTTATATTTGGACTGCGATTATCCAAAGTTCATCAGTTGGATAGTTATATTGTATATGATATCGTTTCTTTTTTTATTTGGAAACTTTTATCGTAAAGCTTATTCAAAGTCTTCCAAAAGGGAGAAATCTCATAGTGAAGAACATCACATTGTTACTCAACGAAGAAGTGTTCGATTGCGAGCTAACATTTCAAATTAGTTCAAATTTTACATTTTAGATTTTTACATTAAATTACATTTTAGATTTTTACAAATAAATATTTTAATGGATTTTTAGATTTTCAGGTTTTTACAACTGAGTGTTTTAATAAATAGTCCATCTACTTTTTTACATTTTGTATATTATACGTATAAATAATGTTTTAAATATGTATATTTTAATGTAGGTTTAATGTAGGTTTATTTTAATGTAGGTTTAATGTTAAATTTGTAATAGTCTGTATTAGGACTAGGTGGGCCTGAGGTTTGGGACGGAGCTGCTTATATTAATACAAACAAATTTGTAATGCTAATGCGACAGCAAAGATAAGAGATGTTTTTTTATATTGTATTCAACGCAGTTAACATCGTTTATAAAATATTTATGGTTATCAAATTCTTTTCATTATAAATAAATTCTTTAATTGCAAAATCTAAATCAAATTGTTGAAGTAACCTATTTATGCCTAACAGCGACAAAACGTTTGAACGTTCTTGAACCACTGTTTCTAAGTCGTTATAAAAGAGCTTTTGTTGTTAGAATAAGTCTTCCGCCGCAATCACATACCTTGCATATTTGCGATATTTATTCCATACTTTAATCAAATACTTGCGCCGTGCGTGTATTTTAGTTAAGATATTATCAAAAGCCGCGATATTTGCTTAACAAATAATATAAACATCTGTAATTTTTTTTTCTAAAATTCTTCTTCATATGAGTTATTCACTCATACAAATTTTGTTCAGGTAGAGTAAATTAATTGTTAAAATACTTAAATAAGGTAACAAAATGAACGACTTCATTAAAAAACTAAGGCTGAAATTCTTCGTGGTATTTATCGACTAAATGTACAGCTTAGGCTTACAAATCTTTAAATGCTAAATTGTTATTACTTAAATGCTAAATCTTTAAATGCTAGAATTAATTATTAACTAGGCAAAAAACCAAATGTTTTATAAATTACACTGTTTTAATTTTATAAATCATCTGTCTTTATGTCGCATTTTGATACGAAATTTTGCATTAGCGTTTTATTGTATTAAATTGAGAATGAAGTTCTTTAAAAAAAGTTTTTGAGAATTGTAGCATCTTTTTAGCGGTATTAAAGTTTAATTTTGAAGATACTGAATTGTCTTACATCTAACGTGTCTAAAATCTAAAACTAGGGTTCGGACTTCAGGGTGCGAAAAATCGACGAATGTGCAAACGTCTGCACAAAAAACGACAGAAAAAGGAACGTCACGTTCCTTTACTTTTCCTTACACAAACGTTGGCGTTCGCCTCAAATTTTTCAAAACGAACGCGTTACTACAGCAATTTTTTTTTCCAAATAATTAACCATTGATCGTTTTTTATTTATTGAAAAAAACGCACAAAAACAAATAATTAGGAAAATTTTAAACGCACTTTCAAAAACTTTATAAGAAACCACGCTTAGGATACTTTCTTCAATGGAACGAAGAAAATAATTATGATTGAGCATGGTTTTTGCATGCGTTTAAAAAAGCATTCAAAACTTTACTTTTTTTTTTTTTCTTTTTTAATTATCTTCGCTTCCAACAAGGCTGCAAGTAACCACTAATTAGTGTTGAAAGTTTCTGGAAGAGAAAAGATGAAGATTGTAGACCAAGATAACGATTGACAGACGACTTAAAAGATTGCAAATTATATGAATCAAGAAAGCAAGATGAAGGAAGCAAATTCCAAAGAACTGATGTTCGAGGAAAAAAACTAGACGAATAAGAGTTTTTGGAGAACTTAGGAACAGTAACAGAAAAAGGATGAGACTTAATTGAATGACGAGTAACACGAGAATGAATTTTAGTAGATGGCACAAGAGACGTTAGCTCTTTAGAGCAGTGCCCATTATAGTATTTGTAGAAAAGAGAAAGAGAAGCAACATTACGACGATGTGACAGAGGTTGAAGGTTGGCTGCAAGAGCAGGTCCAACTATGTTTATAATGCGTTTTTGCACCTTGTCTAAAAGAGAAAGGGCATCATTAGAAGATCCGCCCCAGATATGGCAACAGTATTCCATACAAGGTCGGATTTGAGATATATAGAGATAGAGAATAGAATCCAGAGTAAGAAAGTGACGAGCTCGATAAAGAGAAGCAACTTTAGCAGATACTAACTTTGCAACGGATTTGATATAAGGTTTCCAAGAAAGATCAGAATTAAGAGTTAATCCTAGAATATGAAGGGTAGGAGACTCATTGAGTACATTACGTTCATAAATATAGGAAGGTCTAAATTATTGCGATAATAATTGGCCGAAAAAAATTTTATTTTATCTGAATTAAAGTTCACCAGCCACTGTGAGCCCCATGCTGTAGCAGAAGTGAGATCCTTTTCAAGCTCAGATGCCCCCCGCAAGCAATCAGAGGGAGTTGGCTTCTTATCGTGACAAGAATAAATAGTAGTATCATCAGCGAACAATGCCACCTTAGATGTGAGAATATCTGGAAGATCGTTGATGTAAATTAAAAAGAGTATAGGGCCAAGGATTGAACCTTGGAGAACCCCTGAGGTTACAGAATAAGAAGAAGAGTGCTGTCCATCAAGGACAACTTTTATACTACGATTGGAAAGAAAGGATTCAATAATCTTAAAAATGTTTCCAGATACACCATAAGAAGAAAGCTTATGGAGGAGACCAGCATGCCAAACTTTATCAAACGTTTTAGAAATGTCAAGAGCGATGGCCTTAACCTCTCCACCTTTATCTAATGCGCGATAAAACCTATCAGTTATTACTGATAGCAAATCAGCCGTAGAACGAGAAGATCGAAATTCATACTGATGATCAGAAAGTAGGTTATGAGATTCGAGATGAGAGATTAAATGTTTGTTAATTAAAGATTCAAAAACCTTGCTTATGATAGGAAGAAGACTAATGGGAGGTAGTTAGATGAATCAGATTGCTCTCTAGAATTTTTTAAAATAGGGATAACAGATGCTGCTTTCCAGCAGGCTGGAAAACAAGACTCCGATAAGCACTTGTTAAATAGTTTTGAAATGATAGACGACCGCTCCGGAGAACACTTCTGCAAGACTATAACAGGTGTGTTGTCTGGGCCGCAAGCTGTAGAAGAGTCTAAGCGGAAAATCACTTTAGATACAGAAGCTGGAGTGATACGAATGTCGAGCAATGGATCAACCTGTTTGACGGGTATATCAGGTAAAACGCAACTAGTGGCATCAAGAGATGATATTGATGAAAAGTTCTTGGCAAATAATTCAGCTTTGTCTTTAGGTGAGGTGACAAAGTCTGAACCATACAAAAGAGGTGGAATTACAGACTTGCCCTTATTATTGATACTATTAAAGATTCTCTTGAAGTCACGAGAGCCTAGTTTTTGTAATGAAATACGAGATTTCATGATCTGAGAATAGCGGGCTTTGGCGTTAGACAAAACGGTTTTACAATGATTCCTAGCAGTAATAAACAGACGTCTGTTTTCTGGAGAATTGTTTTGCTGATAGATATGGAAGTAATGGTTTCGATTGGCAATTGCAGCAGCACAATGTGAGGAAAACCATGGAGAAGAGTAAGGCTTGACCTGGAATCGTCGAGAGGGAATAAAGGATTCCATGCCAGCCTGAATCTACGAAGTTATGTAAGAAGAACATTTGTCAACAGGGAGACAAAAATTTCTACCCAGGGGCTATCACGAAGAAAATCACGGATAGAGTTCCAGTCAGCTTAAAGGTAGTTGTAAGATGTACAATGATAGGGGGATTCTAATGGTAAAAAAGAATGAGATAATAGTTTTAGAGAGACCAAACCATAATCAGACGCACCTAAGAGTGAGTGTGAAGAAACTGAGCACTGACTAGGATCAGAAACAAGCTTAAACTTAACGATTGTTTGCTTGCACATTAAAAAAACTTAAAAAAATTTTTAAAATAATTTTCAAGTTTTGCTAAAAAATACATAATCTAATAGAATATATAAAGTTATTATGTTTATTATAATTTTGATTTTTTTATTGCGCGTTTAACAACACCAATAACATGATATTTTTGTTAACTTATTATTAAATACTTAATATACTATTATTTTTAAAGTTTTTAAAAAAATGTCAAAACAACTAAGCATCTTTTCGATGCTAAAGAAAGTACAAAGGAACGTAGCATTAAACGTAAAGAAGAAGAAGAGAAAGAAGCTAAGCATGCGAAAAAAAAAGTGCAATGACTTGGATTGTGCTATAACTTTGGAAAAATTAGATATATGGCTAAAAGATATTGAATTTATGTTTTGGAACACCGTAAATGGATTGCTGCCAAGCAATAAAAAATACGGGCAACAACTAAGCTAGATTCATATTGACAAATTAAATGAGTATTACTCTTGCTGGGTTTGCCAAAAGTATCAAAATATTAGCAATGCAACCAATTCAGTAAAAACGTGATGTAAATTTTGGAAAAGACCATATTTGTTGCGCCACAATAAAGATGATGGGCACAAAGCCTGTATTTTTAAATATCGAGAGAACCTTTACAATATAGCTCCAAGTCTTGAGAAAACTGTATCGACATCAATTTTAAGAACTACTGAAAATAACCAAGAAGATTTGAACAGACATTTTCGGATATCGTATTTTGTTGTTAAAGAGGATCTTACATTAAAAAAATTTTCTTAACTGTGCGGGCTACAAAAGCTAAATGGAATTAAGTTGGGCAAGAACTACTTAAGTGACAAATCTTGCAAAAACTTTGTTTCGTCAATTTCTTTTGACTTATAACGCGAATTAAGTTTAGACCTATCAAATTCTCGTTATATTGCAATTTTATCGGTTTTAATGATAAGAGTAATAGTGAACAAGAAACAGTTTTTTTAAGGTTTGTAAAAATGGTATTATAACTTTTATTTCAAAAACTATTGGAATGATAAATAGAGCTAAACTATTTCTTAATTTTCAATCACTATAAGGTTTATACTTTGCTCTCTTAGTTAGCGTACTGTAATGGCCGTTTTCCACAAGACGTGAAAAATTCGCGCAAGTGAATTTTTTCGTCGAAAAGCATGCGCACATTAAACATGTTTGGCGATTATGATGATACAACGCACAGTTGACAAAAGTGAACACAGTTGAAAAAACTGTTTTTCAAAATGTGAAAATGTAAGAAATTTTTTTTTGTATATTGTTGCTAAGTCTCTAACTAACTAAATTAAAATTATCTTACACTAATTTTTTTTTTTTTTTACATCAGTTTAGGTTTAGAAGCGCATCGCTGTTGTTTTAATGTTAAAAATTGTAATTTTTATGTGTTTTTGATCCATTTTACTTTTATAATATTTAATTTAAATAATTCTTATAAATCTTCATTAGCACATCAATAATTTAAAGTTTGATGCAAATATTAATTAAACGATATATTTATTA